GTGGATGGACCGGTGTCGAAAACATATGTGCACAAAGTTTGGCGCTGATCGGTCCACACACAAAAATGTCTATAAAGAACACGCTAACTAACATGGGAGACGGTCTTTTCGCACGGGCGGTCTCCAGCGTCTCCCTGATTTTGACTTGTCTTAACATGTAATGCACGCCGCAAATCTTTCCTCCCCGTGTTTTGCTTAGGCAAAAGCCGCCGCAGGGTGTGTCGCGCGCGGCGGTGGTCCTGTGTGGAAAGCATTACGGTCGTGCGAAACGTCACACACCCAACTAACATCAGTAATTGCGCGTGCTCAAACTCAGACAATCGATCGGACCCCTCCGCCGGACCCTCGGAAACTGCCAGGGTCGCGCCGGACCCAGTTGACCAATGAGAGAAGGGCAAATGGGCGGTCCATCACGGTGGCATCACTGGCAGGCAAATGGGAGGCTTCTCCGGCCCTGCTGCAAAGGTCCGCCATTTCTCCGGCGCGACTCTGCCAGATTTGACGGACTCCGCGCCGCAGAGGTCTGCGCGGCGCGTGTCCGCCAAATTTGGAAGACACGCGCCGGAGAAAATCGGAGGGGTCCGGAGCAGAAATGGGAGGTATCCGGAGCAGAAAATGGGAGGTATCCGGAGCAGAAAATGGGAGGTATACGGAGCAGAAAATGGGGGGTATCCGGAGCAGAAGATGGGAGGTATCCGCCGGAGAAATGGGAGGTATCCGGAGCAGGCTGCGTATCGATTTGGCGCGTAGCAAGCAAACGTCTAACTCCACGGTGATGAGTCCTCTGTTTACGCTCTTTGTCCATATTTTAGTCGCCGTTTATTTGATTCTGTTGTTTTTGCGCGTTTCTTTACCGTTTTTTCCTTTTCCGCGTTGCTCTTCGTCGCGTTGGCGTTTATGTTGCTGTAAGTTCCTCGTTTTCAGGTTTATGTTTGAAATTTTCGTGCGGTTGCACTCAATCACCTTCAGTGTTTGGCTCTTTCCGACTTGCTGAGACATCGTAGACTATTGATGGAGTGGTTTTTGTGATTAATTCTGGATTTTCGAAACAATGAGGTTAGTTGCGCAACTATCTAGTGTTGTTGTGATGAAAGTATCGTCTAAATAATCCGTTTATTGCTATAGTGTGGACCCCGGCCAGGTTCCCATAGGTACCTCCGCGGCGCGCCCGCAGCGCATGCCTTCAGTGCGCTTTTCGTTTCGGCTCTGAAGGGATTTCTTTCAATTTCCTCTTTCAAGTGTGTTTGTTCTCTTCTGTAATCTCTACTTTAGATGTAAACGACACACGTCAACTGCTGGTGATGGATTTTTACGAGTCTTGACAGTCTTGCAAGCATTTGTTTCGAAAATCTTGTTTTTTTCTCAATAGTGAAGATTTCGGTGTAGTTCAGAGACATCTCTCCAAATGTTCAGAATAAGTGTATATGCAGTTGATTTTGTGGAGTGTAGATGCTTCTAGCCTTTTGTTACACCATCAGAGCTTTGCAATCGTGCTCTTGAGCTCAAACTTTCTGGGTTTTTTTATGAACAGAAGGAAGACTTTTCAGAATTGTTCTTCGACTTTTCCTGTTACTTCTATCATCCATCGCTGGTAGTGTCATACACTACTAGCGATGGATAATAGAAGATTCCAGTTATTTATGAGATTGACTGGAATCTGAGCGCTAGTAGTAGAAGTTGTGAAGGTTCTCCTATTGCCTTGGCTTTTCTCGTGTTCGGATTAGAGGCCTCCACATCTCATTTCACTCCTGTTTTCGGTTATAATGCTTTTTTGTTCGTAAGTGAAATGAGAAGCGTTCAAGTCGGGCGCGCGTTGCGTGTGCGCCGCGCTAGTACCTGAAGCTGGCCGGGGTCCACACTATCTCTCTCGTACGTATGCTTACCAAGTCGATCGACTTTTCATCAGACGTTGCAGATCCTCACTATATCGTTTCTGGCTTGAAAGATAGGACAAGGCAAGAGATATGTTGACAAAAGTCTTGGAGGCAACTCCAAACGATGTTGAAGTTTTGTGACTGTTACTGAAGCATTGTGACTGTTACTGTTGCTTAGTCACATCACATTGCTTCCAGTATTGCTTAGCGAGATTAGGGACTGATAAGGCTAGGTAAGCATGTAAATGTGAAATGTTTGAGTCACATAGCTTCTTCTTTACTGTTTATGTGACTTTCAATTACAATTTGCAGAATCGCTTTTGAACAAGCGTTGGAATTGCAAAATGACAATGTTTGTGCTCTCTCAGCACTTGCCATTTTGGATTACAATACGCATACTGTCGAGGGAGCCCAAAGTGCAGTGGCTTGTCTAGGCCAAGCGTATAGTCTGGAGCCGGAGAATCCGGTTGTCTTGGTCCATCTTGCCAACCACTTCTTCTTCAAAGGAGTCAGTGCAGAAATTCTTTGAATTAATTACGAATTATCTATAAAAGGGACCTTTTAAATTTGTCCAAGCTGTTACATCGAGGTGTTTATCGCTTTATCTGAAGGCATCACTTTTTCAGGAAATGAACAAGGTTGAACGGTTAGCGTGGCATGCAATGAGTATGACGGAAAGTGACGAAATCAAGGCCGAAGCTTGTTACATTCTTGCGCGGTTTTTCCATTTCAACAGAGACTATGAAAAGGCGTTCAAGGTAAGTTGCATATGCAAGAATTTCAATCCATGTCATCATCGTGTCCTAGTACTATTATCAAGCAACTACGTTGAATCATCCTACTTTTGTTTTGCCCCAGTATGGCCTTGGACCTCGGAATTCGAAGATGTTTGGATGAATATAGCTCATGTATATATCGCACTTGGACAATATGTCCCTGCTTTGCAAATGTGAGTTTATGGCGTTCCTCGCTGTTTTGTTTCATGTTGCACAGAATGCTTTTTTGATCTTTTTGTCATTTTCTTACCATGTTAAAACCATATGCTTATACTGTGGTGTTACAAGGTTCTTTTTGCAACTAGGAAATTAGTTTTTCTTTGAATATTCTTATCACTCCTAGTATGGTTTTTGTAATATGAATTAACTGTTGTACGTATGCTGGAGATAGATAGATAGATTGTTCGAAAGTTTGATAAATTTGAAATAAATGTCTTATCTCTTCGTTCTTTCTTCTATCTTCTATCCACAAACGCTAGGGGTGAGAGGGAGGGGGTAGAGTACGGGGTGAGGGTCGCGCTAAACTCCTACCCGGGGGGGGGGTCCTATTCGGCTTATTTGGGTGGGGTTTAGAGACAAAATTGGGGTTTGGAGCTTAAAGGCAGCGTCCAGGCAAGTCTGGACCTATGGGGATTTTACATGGAAAGTATTTTGGGGCCCTAACTAAGCCACTACCCAACCGGCAGCTCAAGTAGTGCTCTAACGCCTGAGATATTCTGCTCGAAACCGGACCCCGCGACCGTGTTTCGCATGGATTCATGGCGCAAAGAGTGGATCCTGGCGCGAAACTGCCATGAATCCATGCGAGTACGTTCGCGGGGGTCTGTTTCGAGGGGAATATCTCAGCCATTGGAGCACTACCTGAGCTGCTGCTTCGGCAGTGCCTTAGTTAGGGCCCCAAAAGTACTTTCCATGTAAAAGCCCCATAGGTCCAGATCTGCCTGGAAGCTGCCTTTAATTAGGGCTAATTACAGTATGCCGCGATCGGGGGGCTCCGGCGCACAAAATCGGGGGGCTCCGGCGCACAAAATCGGGGGGCTCCGGAGCAGAAAATGGGAGGTATCCGGAGCAGAAATGGGAGGTATCCGGAGCAGAAAATGGGAGGGCTCCGCCGGACAAATGGGAGACCCACCGCTGGGGATACGCCGCGACCCTGCCACTTCTCCGGCGGAGGGGTCCGATCCGCTGTCTGAGAACCGCCTCCTACCGTGGCAGTAGGGGTTAGCTTGCCTACCAATTTCAAGTACAGTGCAAAAGTCTGCCACATCTTGGTCTTCCTGCCGCCTGAGGTTTCTAAGTTTTCTTAGAGCCTTTGATCTACCCGCCATGGAATGAAATAGCGCAAAACCAAAATTAGAACTAATAGAGTTTACTTGTAAAAAGAAAAGATGTCTTAATAATTAAAAATGGGGTTCCTGGCTAGAAGTTCAATATTATTCGAGCCCAGAGGTAGAGAAGAAAGCGAGAAATTCTCAAACAGAGCCTAGAGGCCTTGCGAGGGCGGCAGAGGCGTGCGCTACATGTGCCTCGCAGAGGTACCTGTGGAAAGCTAGTTGGAACACACATGACGTATAACTGACAGTTTTCATTGCCCTTTCCTAACGTCTAAGGCCCCGGACAGACTTCACGCGACTTAATCGTCGCGATCTAATCGCCAAGATTTCCATTCATTTTCATTTCACATTCAAAAATTTCGGGCTGGAAAAGTATCACAACCGAATGCAAGTTGATCGGCATGGAATGATGTTGTAACAGTTGTCTCGTCGCGATTCAGTCGCGACGATCAAATCGCGTGAAGTCGCCCGGGGCCTAAGACGTATTAAACAAAAACGATATTAAAACAGTAGCAGACCCCGTACAAGGTAACAATGAAGGGGCAAGACATATGCGCCTGTCTAAACTACTAAAGACGCAAAATATAAAAATTTGGGCTCTACAGCAATTTTCTACGCACAAAGTGCCGGCACAACGGAGTGGCAATTTGTGCAAGTGCAAATGTTGCCGCCAAATGTGGACGCCGCAGGTACACTATATTTACTGTTGGACTACCAACCTAAATCTTATGTCCGGTTTTCTTCTTCTCCGTTGGCAAAATAGCGTTGTAGGCTCATTTGATATGGTGCGAGCCCTGGCGAAGCGGGCGTAGCTCAAATGTGACGTGTTTCTGGTAGGAGCGTTTGAAACAGATTCCTGGACTAGTCAACTGATTGACCGCTAACCAACTTCATTGCAACCTTTTGTTTCGCCGCTCCTCAAACTTTGTTATTTGTAAATGGCCGAATGGTTTATAATAATTGTTGACGTCTTTAAATCTTTTTTGAAAACCTTGGTACTGTCCATTTGTACTAACCCCTACTCAAGAAGCAGTACATCGAATGATTTCGAAGAATGTCATCAGAGGCCGGTCAGTCGCTGGTGGCTGAGTGGTAGCCACATGTTCCTATCGCCCCTCTACGATTGTTGCTATCCCTGCTCTGCGTATCTGACCTGCGGTGCCCATGGCTGGCGGAGACATGACCAACTTTGTCGCTTGTTGCTAACATGCTTCGACTGTCTCAATTCGACCGTAAACTCGAAACAGAAGCATCCTGAGCTGCCGACATAGCTTGCGGGCACACATCTTCGCCGCGCAGTATTCACTGCGCCAATGTAACCGTAACCTCGACGGCAACTCGCCAAGCAAGCTCGGGGCTCCAGGCTAGAGCGACACGGTCGATCTCCGCGAGTCGGCTTTACATGTGCGCATCGCAGGTGCTCACAAAGAGAGGATACTTAGTTGAAAGCACCAATCCAGATGAGACACATATCATCTTAAAGCGCTTGAAACGCTGATTCCAAATCTGTAGTTTTTAGCAGCGGAGCGGTTTTGTAGAAGGAGTTATGAGGGATGTTTCCTTTTAGGGTTGAGGCGCCCTCCAGCAAGTCTCTCCTTATCTATGAGCACTGTAGAGGAGTACCAACTGGTGGCAAGTGGCCTAATGGTAAGTGCCTTGCTTGATAAAGAGAGTGTCAAGGTTTTAATTCCCTTCGCATGCAACTTTATCGCAATTCTTGAGCTTTCAAATGGCTCTGGAGCCCCAAGCCTGAACTTTCGGATGATCTTGATGTTAATTGAAATTGGAAGTGTTAAAAAATCAAAGTAATACGCGTATTATAATCCTTAATGTAATCTTCATTCAAATTACTTACCACTAGTCAGTTGCTATTAGTTGGTACCAGTAGGGTAAGGGGACCTGCTGGAGGGCGCCTCAACCCCAAAGGGAAACAACCCTCATGACTCCTTCTACAAAACCGCTCCGCTGCAATAACTACAGATTTGGAATCAGCGTTTCAAGCGTTTTAAGATGATATGTGTCTCGTCTGGATTGGTGCTTTCGACTACTTCCTTTCCTTGCCAGATAATCGCCCGGGGCAGGCGGCTATGCGATTTATGGGCGGGCGGGCACCGGAAAAATAGTTCGCTGATTTCTTGCGATCCGCTTGCAGATATTTGGAAGAATTTTAGCGAAATTTTAGATGAATGCTTGGAGAACAGTCGCGATTTCCTTATAGATTAGCAGCGACGCAGTGGCCGCATTCTCGCGGACGTTCCGCGAGAATATGCAAAAATATTGAGGCCGCACGGTCTTTTGTGGAGGACCGCACAGCCCTCAGGTACTTTCCGCTGAGAGAAAGTACCTCAAACTTGAGTAATTAAACCATCGATGACACCTCCGCAGCATAGAGTCTCACAATTGCTCGACGTACGCCCGAAACTGCTTAAAAAGAATCCGAGCGCCTGCTGAACATTCGGCCAGCGCTCGCTGAAAGAGATTATTTGACGAGCGCCCGCAGAAAACTCTGTGTTCTGCTCCGCTATCAGGACAGTAAAAAAGGTACCGCCCGCTAAAGGTTTGGCCACGCCCCAAAATTCTGCTGACCGCCTGCAGAAAAGCGCGAGTTTGCAGACCGCCTGCCTCCGGCGATTATCTGAGTATCTGTGCTCGACGTAAGCCAGAAACGGCGTAAAAAGAGTCCGAGCGCCTGCTGAAAGTTCGGCCAGCGTTTGCTGAAAGAGATTATTTGACGAGCGCCGCAGAAAAATCTGTGTTGCTGTCCGTTGGCAGAACATTAGACAGTAAAGGAAGTACCGCTCGCTGAAGGTTTGGCCACGCCCCAAGATTCTGCTGACCGCTTGCAGAAAAGCGCGAGTTTGCGGACCGCCTGCCCCCTGCGATTATCTCAGTGGGCGGTACTAATCGAGTAGCGGACTCCACGCGTTTTCTAATTAAGATATGCTTCAGGTGTTCAGATAGATGCGCACCTGCTTGCACACGAGTTTCAAAACTTCATAGAGAAGCGAAACAAGGACATCGAGGAACTGATCATGTTGGCTTGGGACTCTCCGCTTAGATTGATCCCACCTGCGGAGAAGCGTGCTCTAATGAGGGAAAAGGGGTAGGTTTTAGTTAAAAGCAGGCTTGTTCAGAGCATAGTCCGCGTTGTTCTGCGGGTAGTGCTGCAGGTACAAATAGCTTGAAGGTGGATATAAATCCGCCTTCGGTTAACTGATAAATTGCGTCAACGTTGTCTTGGTCCTATAGACCTGCATCAATATGACAGAGGAACAGTGAGGAAGTTGTTTTTGATCAAAAGTTGAGGTCGCTTAGAGATGACTGTAAGTGGCACATTTCGCCGGAACAGCTGAGTGCCATATTTGGTGTCTGTCAATCAATATGTTCAAGGCAATGGTTTGGCAAACCTGAATATCTTGGATTTTTGTTGTGGTGAAGAAGCAGAGAGCACGTGGGAGCGCACAACATGCTGCCCCTGCCAAGGAAACTGCTCCCAAAACGTGGACGCAAGCCACTGTTCCACGCGCTTGGACGAGCTTGCGTCTCTTCCACGTCCGGAGGCGCATGGCGCAATGTTATACATAAATGTTCTAGTACGACTCTGCCTCTCCAGCCTTGAAGTAACGTGTTAAAATCGTCCAAAAAGATGAGGGACTCAGGAAAATGCTGATTTTTCCCATTTTCGCTCTCTCCAAGTTGGATTTTCGAAATCGTCAAATATCCTTAAGTCAACCACGAAAATTTTGTTTAGAGGATTTGCCGAGCCTTTGACCAGGGGAAGGGGAGTGGTTGAGGTTACAGCCTGAACGCGCGCGGGCGCTGGCGTCCGCAACAGGAAGCTAGATTGCGGTCCGGCTCAGGCAGTAACCTATAAAGTTGAGTTACGCCCGCAACGTGGATTAGCGCATTCCAAGAACGCCTGTGGATACTGATCGCACGCGCAAGAACCCGCTGTTTTCTATTTTCTCTCTATAAATGTTGTGCTGACTGCTTACATGCCAGTCTAGGCTGGCCATAAATATAGCGACAAGGTTTTCACCTTATATCTAAGAAAGCAAAAGTGCAAACGAGTCATGAACATAACATTTATTAAGTGACCACTGATACATTAACAATCATAAGTTACTTCTCGATTCGGCCACCTTTGGCACGGACGACAGCGCGGAGTCGTTTGGGAAAGGCGTCAATGACCGGACGCAGGAGTGCGTCGTCGATTTCGTCCCATTCTCGGATGAGCGCTGCCTTCAGAGAATCCAAATTGGGTTGGGTCTCATTAACGTTGGAGTGTGCGATAACGACGCTGCGGTGGATGCGAGGTGCTTAGCGATCGTGGCGGGTGGGCGGCCGGCTTTGTGCAGACGAACGATAGCAGGACGATCAGGAGAAGGCTTCACCATTTCACTATAAATGGACCAAATTTGACCAAATTTTAACAGGAGTTAGAAAAAATGATGAGATTGAAAAATCGATAAAACTGGCGCGCTATGTGCGCGATAGAATGTAGTACGCTAACTGCAGTAAGTCTTGTCGCTATAATTATGGCCAACCCCTTAATGATCTTGTTGATAGTGAGGTCAGGAAGGAGTACGTTCATTCTTTTATTTGGTTGGCCCAAAAGTTCTGGTACATTTTCGAACTAGATCTGCTATTTCTCGAAACCTAACGCATATACATCAGATAGAGGTACCATTCGATAGAGCAAAGCAAGCTCTACAAGAAGGTGTACAAAAGATCGCACCAGCTTCGATTCACCGTAAGTTTGTACCCAAAATCTGAGTCGTACTGAAATTCTAAAAAATCGCGAAAAATTCATATCTTTGTTCAAACAAATCCTACGGATCTCCAACTTGCTCACAAGAATTGCAAACCACATCAGACATTCACATGCACCGTTCCCGTATTTCTTCCTCATCTAGAAATCGAGAAAACGAAAATTTTTATGCTCATATAGAAATGAAGCTGTGGTGTTTCCACCCATGTAATTGAATAGTACAAGCCCTTAGAAATATAACCGTAAATTTTCAGCTTTCTACAGGCCCTAGTTCACGAAAATTACCGGATTGAGCTCTCCTCACTCGGGAGTTCCATGCTAAAATCAATATTTTTTCACATCTAGGGCCTACGGAAAGCTGGAAATTTACGGTTATACTTCTGAGGGCTTATACTATTCAATTACGTGGGTGGGAACAGCACAGCTTCGTTTTTATATAAGCATGAAAATTTTCGTCTCCTCGATTTCCAGATGGAGAAAAAATACGGGAACGGTGCATATGAGTGTCTGATGTGGTGTGCAATTTTTGTGAGCAAGTTGGAGATTCGTAGAATTTGTTTAAACAAAGATATGATTTCTTTCGCGATTTTCTGAATTTCAGTACGACTCAGATTCTGGGTGCAAACTTACGGTGGGTCGAAGCTGTTGCGTACTTTTGCATACCTTCTTGTAGAGCTTGCTTTGCTCTATCGAATGGTACCTCTATCTGATGTATATGCGTTAGGTTTCGAGAAATAGCAGATCTAGTTCGAAAATGTCCCAGAACTTTCGAGCCAACCTAATATAAGTTGTCAGAAACGATCTGATCGTCCTAGGTATCAGTCACTTGATGGGCATCATTGTACCTCTCATTTATGCATGAAATGGTATAAGTTGTACTACCACGAAAAAATATTCAATGACAAGGTCCAGGAGCAAGATGTCGTTGAGCCGAAGTTTGGAGTCTTGGCAAGGTTCTGGTTTACAGTTAGGGTCGGCAGGGCTTTAAGCCATTGAAGCACAAAGCGTTTTGATTTGGCCTCGCTAATATTGGGCAAATCTTTCCAAATACGCTTGCTGTACAACCTTGCTTCAGCATATTCGTGATAGCCGATGATCAAGAGTTCAATTACACAATCATGGAGAAAACGGACTGCATTTCAAGGCCGTATGTAGTGAATGACCCCCCAGTGTAAGTCTTTTATGACAAATCTAAGCTTTGCCATTTCGAAATGCTTTCGGCTCAAGGGAACTTCGATGGAAGAATAAGCCCAGGAAAAGGAATGAGGTAAGAAGCCTAATTTTTGGCGAGTATGGGTTGACTAAAAACCTTGCCTTGAAGAGAACGCTCGATGTACGTTGCGCTAAAGAATGCGGAAGAAGAGGAGGAGATCCCCGCTCAGGGTCAAGCGTGTGGTCTGGTGCACCCGACCTAGGGGTCTTATTGAGGGAGAGGATAGGGAAGAGGGAACGGGAAGAGTCCTAATTACCGAGTTCGTCTACAAATGAGAATATATTACCAGTGAGCAAGGTAGAGAACAAAAGCGCTACATCGGTTATAGATGTCATAACACCAAAATCATAAATACTAATTACTGCAAAAATTGGCTACGGTTGTGAAAAGCATTTCTGAGAACTCCATTGCCGAAGTTCCAGCAAATTCAAAAGCTTCATTCCTTACTGTACGCTTACAGTAGCTAAAAGGTAAGCTGGGATGTAGGACGATTCGCACAACCGTAATGCTTTCCTCACAATATCATCGTCGTGCGCGAGACACCCTGCGGCGGCTTTTGCCTAAAGGGCCGGTCATACCGGTCAGCGATCCATTGCCGCGATGGATGATCATCGCGACTGGGTGGAAACTAGCGACGAAAACGCGCGACGGGTCCTCAGACAATCGCCGGGGGCAGGCGGGCACCAGAAAGATAGATTGCTGTTTTCTCGCACCCCGCTCGCGGATTTTTTGGAAAGCAATCAGGACTTTTCGGAAGACCGCTTGCTGAGTTCTCGATTCCTCAGAGATTCAGCAATATATCTGCAAAAGATAAGAGCGAAAAAAATTCAACAGGCGGTCGCTCAAAAATCCGCTGACTCAGCAAGCGGTCTTCCGAAAAGTCCTGATTGCTTTGAAAAAAATCCGCGAGCGGGGTGCGAGAAATCAGCAATCTATTTTTCCGGTGCCCGCCTGCCCCCAGCGATTGTCTGAGTCGTCGATCGCTCGAATAAGGGGGCATACCACCGCGGCGATGTGTGCATTCTCACACTACGTCACATAAAGCACTTTCGCACAAGCAAATTTGAGAAACAAATTTTGTACCAGCATAAACTTCTCATATAAAAGTCACCAATATCTGACAGTCACTGATTCCAGTGCAGATTAGCCGCGGAATATGTACAACTAGCTCCTGAGAGTTCACAAACAAAAGTCATGCCCGTGATGAGGATACTGAGGTAATAAAGAACACAAAGAAACGTTATAATGGTTAATAGTAGAGCCGTACCCACGAAACACACATCAGTTGAAAACCAGATAGCTGGCAAATTTGGGAAGAGTGCAAGGCATTTAGCGTGAGTGAGACAATTGCTGATAAATCAAAAGGCTTCCATTTTACGGAAAACCAATGCACTTTGACAAAACTAAAATGGTTTCCAATCCCCAGACACGAGACCAGCTTGAGAAAGTAAAGAACAATCATAAAACTTTCCTGGAAAGAGATCCCAATCCTAGCGATCCATCGCGTCGCGCATTTGAAATGAGCGACGCGAATTCGCTAGGATGAGCGACGATCGCGGCGGTTTCGCTCAAATCGGTATGGCCGGGTAGAAAACGGCCCGCGATGCATCGCGCCGGACAGCCAGCACAAATACGCAGTTATCTCCGGCCTTGTGACACTTGTCCTTTGGGAAAGTCAGCGACGCGATGGATCGCTGACCGGTATGACCGGCCCTTAAACAAAACAGGGGGAGGAAAGGTTTGCGGCATGCGTTACATGTTAAGACAAGTCAATATCAGGGAGACGCTGGAGACCGCCCGTGCGAAAAGACCGTCTCCCGTAAGCTGCTCATTGCTTTGGCATGCTCACTGCGAAGACACCCACTTCGCATCCACCATGCAAAGTGGGTGTGGTTTTCGCAATGGGCATGTCAGATTACGTCTATGAGCTTTGAAAAGCACTCCCGCTTCGCCAGTACCTCCTAACATCCGAAAAGCTTTTTCTAACACGTTGACAACCAAGCCGTTTTAGGAAAGGTTCCCATCAAGGCTTCTCGTGGATTCGGCGCGTGCATACGCGCGTATGCACGAAATCATTATGTGACGCCTACTCATAAAACATGCAAGATTTTTCAGAACTACATGCATGGCGCAGAACCTTACCAGGAATTACACATATAAAGAATTCTGCATCACTCTCCCCTTCAATAAACCATGCATTGGCTATGTCGGAGGACCTCCCTTTGTGGAAAGTGTTATAACATGTGTTTTTGGGTGTTTTTTGCCTGAGTTCGTCTTTGATTGCTCTCTGAACAACACAGAGTTTTCGCTTTTTGATAAAAGCAAAATTAACATATCTTACCACATTAAAATTGTAATGAATACCTGGATTTGCGGTGCAAACTCCTGAAGCTCTGGAAACACCGCTGGGCGGAAACTCCACAACTGGATCGAGCACGAATGGGCGGGCATCACTGGAGGGGGCGGTGCCGTTTAGGGTCCTCGTGCCTTTTCGTTCTTCCGGACGATTTTCTTGCTGTGAAGGGACATCTCGGGGCGCAACTTTGGCATTGGTTTGATAGATGGTTCTACTATCGTATGCTGCCAAAAACTCACACACACACACACACACACACACACACACACACACACACACACACACACACACACACACACACACACACACACACACACACACACACACACACACACACACACACACACACACACACACACACACACACACACACACACACACACACACACACACACACACACACACACACACACACACACACACACACACACACACACACACACACACACACACACACACACACACACACACACACACACACACACACACACACACACACACACACACACACACACACACACACACACACACACACACACACACACACACACACACACACACACACACACACACACACACACACACACACACACACACACACACACACACACACACACACACACACACACTTTGCGGTTACTATAAGTCACGAGCAGAAACTAAAATACCCGAGAACGTTTCGCAGTGCGACGATCAAGTGAATAGTTGTGCTTTACCCCGTCTTGGGGAATTTACTACGAGTTAGAGCTTATCGGACAGCTTATCAGACTGGTGCATGCTTTCGATATAAATTCTCATAATAGATTACACTCAATAATCAATGAGACCTTTGAATTGATAAGATGTTTTCTGCGGATCTTTAACGCTAAAAATATGTGATCGCAGATCTTGCATGGTAAAGCAGCAGTACCAACTTCCAAGAGTGACACTGCAGAGCCACAAGCAGCAGCAGATGATGACAATGAACAAAGTTTTTCTGATAGTGATTATACCGATTACGATGAAACATCAATAATCGAAGCAAATATTCCACAATGTTACACACATGCCTCCACAAAGAAGCATGTTACGTTCAAGCCTACTGCGAAGTCGAATTTGAGAGGATATCATACACAGTACAATTTCACTCATTCGAAAGAATCAATGATAGAACCAAAGAAGAAAGAGTACAATCTTAACCACTCGAAGAAACCGCTGAGGGAACCGAAGGATAAGACGTTTGGCATATCAACGCAGTCAAACTGCACGCACTCAAAAGATATGAAAAGCGATCAAACTTTGTCCACAGAGAGTGAAGTTGACATGCCACCTACAGTGCAGTTGAAAAGTGACTCAAAAGATACTCGTGTACCGGATCCTCCGAAATTGCACAGTTGGTTAGACCCGAAGAAGTCCAAAGAAGATGGGAGGTAATTTAGTATTTGACTTTTAATTGAGATTGCTAGTGAATAGATTTTATATAGGCGGTAACTTCGCAACAATCAAGTAATTGAACAAGCTTGCAAAAATTTATAATCTACTGCTTCTTTGCCAATACATTTGATTAGCTGTTCAACCTGCAACTTTCCGCTGATTATAATTTGACTACGAAAAATCTGGATAGATTATAGTATTCTGAGGTTTTGTCGCAAATCTGAGTGATCATTACCTTGAACGGTTCTTTCAGAGAATCCTTTAAACTTTCCTCTCCTCTTGCGCGAGACCCTTCCTTTCATTATACAAAGTATGAGAGATTTTGAGTTGGCCTTTCGCAGGCTTGGCGTTCGACCTAAGTTACCGCTGTTACCAGTGTTCCACTTTTACTTTGATCCAACGTCCTCATCGTTGTTATCTAAGTCCTGCTTTGAACGAGTGATTTAGGCCGTCCGCGCTGTGCTCGGAGAGTGACGCTGTTGCGCTCGTCGAAATTAGACCATGACTGACTGGAAAAGGAGCAGAGAAAAAAGGGGCGAGTGTGCATGAGGAAAGAGGAGTGACGCCCAGTCACACCCTGCGTGGACGGCATATACCCGAGCTTATCAATTGAAGAGTCGGGTGCACCAGCATTTCCGCCCGCGTGGCCGCCTCGCCTGAACTCTACACCTCTTTCGTAAACATGCTCTCTAATCATTTTTGCTCGCTTAATTAACAGAAACTCCGCCTTTTCTACGCTCGCGGTGGGAAAGTGATAAGAGAGCATGTTCGCAAAGAAGGTGCAGGCGAGGCCGCCGCGCGTGAGCAGAGATGCTGGTGCACCCAACTCTGCAATTGATAAGCCCTGTATGTATGATACGCAGAAAGTTGTTTTTATGTGACACAAATGTTGGGGTACGGCGCAACCCCAAAGAAAAGTGTGGCAGTCGCAACTTCATGGGTTGTGCAAACCCCCAAACCGGTATGCGTTAGTTTGGGAGATTTTTGAAAACGAAGTCCCATGGTTCTGCAAATTTTTACGAAGTCCCCACATTCGTAAACTGGTAAGAAAAGACAACAATCTGCAACAACAAGCAACACGTGGCACTGATTCCATGAGTCATCAAGCGCCAATGCTAAAAGTAGTCTTGAGGCCACTAATTTAGCCAAATACGCTCGCGGGCGTTCAGGCTACCGCGATATGGGCGATTTCGTGCAGTCGACCATACCTCACCTCAGAACTAACCTTGTTTGAAAATGATCATTTCATCTAGCTAGTCCAGTATTTAGAATCTCAGAAGTCATTGAAGCTTGGCCACGGGGTTTATTTTACATGCTGGTAAAAATAAACACATTATAATATCGGGTGCTTTCTATAGGTAAAGGGTAATCAAAGGGGTCTTACCGTGCCACAACTCAAAGGGGTGAGGGAGGATCGTAACTGGCGCGAGTGTGCTACACATTTTGATCGACCTATGGACCTTGTTAGAAGAAGATTGCGATGCAATGTTGCATACGACCCAGGTGAAAATGGTGATGCTGACACTGGTTACAGCGCTACTGGTAATCGCAATAACAGCGGTAACAGTGCAAGGTATGGACGAACACATGTCTTTTTCAACCGGAGTAGGCGAAACTTTCCAAGTGGAGCAGCGCGTACGCACCGCCATTGGCACAGCGATACAGATTAGGATGAAGAGATGCACACCGCAAAGCGGCGCGAATCGTTGCGAGGCGGACCCCCCGCCAGTTCAATTTACGCCTAAACTGAATTGAAATCTTATATATAAAGCTGAATGTCTGTTTGTATGTGTGTATGTATGTATGTATGTATGTATGTATGTACGTATGTTCCGAATAGAAATTTTTATTTCCGAACCGATCCGGACCAAACTTGGCACAGCATACACTACGAGACCGGGCGGGTGTCGTAGGCTACTTTCCGTCATCGATCGATATCGATTTTATCGATTTTTATCGAATTTTTTTGCCGAGTTCACCTACGGGGATGGGAGTTGGCACAGGGGGGTAATCGAGCGTGCTGACTACGAATACGACATTAGTTTTTAAAATCGTCCATTAGTTTTACGATTTTATCGATTTTTTTGCAAAGTTTGAGCTACGGGGCTGGGAGTTGGCAAGGTGGGGTAACTGAGCATGCTGATTACGAATGTAGTACTGTTTGCGAGAACATCCAATACTTTTTTTTGAGCCTCGGATTAGAAAGGTGTAAGTTGGTACTTGGTTATACTGATTCAAACGAGGTTATCTTTATTTCTCATCCTCAATCCTGCATCAAAATATTTCTCCTGTCATCTGAGACTGGATTTCGGTAAGAAATAAGCGAGTGCGCTAATTAAAAAACAGCCTTCCTGAAATTCGAGTGCTAATGATCACGATCAAACGTACTGAAAGAGTACACTGATCTCTATAAAATCACAACAATTTTAATTTTTTGGCGAGGTTTAAAGGCAGTATATCGGCAGAATGAGACCCGTGACAAAACAAGGTCACAGGGTAGGAGCCCCCATATGGAACCTATGGGCCAAAGTTCGATCTTTCTCTGCCACTTCTAACCCCCGAAATTACAAAGCGAAAGCAGCGCTCATCTCGTGTCCTCTCCGAATCCGCCCACCCCATGGACGAGTGAATTCCGCGGCCAGAGCGCCAGCCGCAACGCTATAAGCATGAGGTCCCGCAACGACTCTGCGTCTTCGCCATGACGGGCCTCGCGTTCACTCGTCCATGGGGTGGGCTGGTTCGGGGAGGACAGGAGATGAGCGCTGCTTTCGCCTTGAAATTTCAGGGGTTAGAAGTGGCAGAGAAAGATCGGACTTTGGCCGATAGGTTTCATATGGGGACTCCTACCCCGTGACCTTGTTTTGTCACGGGTCTCATTCTGCCGAGGTACTGCCTTTAACTATCCTGAAAAATGTTTTATTTATGAAACACTCTTTTAGATCAGGTTCTAATAGAGCTAGACTAGATTGTTGAAATTTAGCATGCACACATTCTATATGTGGGTAAACATACCATAAATATTTTCAAAAAAAAAACCGTTCTTTCAGGGGTTCTTTTTAAATTTATTGGGAGGAAATCATGATGGTGTCTTGGAATGAGAAGGGGAAAAATATTGAGTAGCACCGCTGGATTGGCCATCAAAAGTTAGCATATACATATATTAGCATATATTTTTGACGCAAGGTCCCAGGTTGTCTCTGGAACAGATGTCTGAAAATTCCTGTTTCACTCAGTATTGATATATCCGTACGCTTTCGTCGATTGAACCGTTGGTTCCACCTCAACTGAGGTGTTCAGCCAGTGGTTCGATTTTTAACAACTGATGGTTGTTCCTCGCCAGAGGCAACCGAGTAGTTGTCCTCCAAGTGAGGCAACCGAGTGGTTGTCCTCCAAGTGAGGCAACCAAGTGGTTGTCCTCCAAGTGAGGCAACCGAGTGGTTGTCCTCCAAGTGAGGCAACCGTGCGGCACGAGGCAACCACCAGAAATGACCGGCGACACCTCGCCTTATATACCCCTCCAAGGGGGCGGGGCATTGGGCGGTCCAAAGTAGACGTCCAATTCGTGTGGTTGAGCATAGGCTTTCCATACAAAAACTATCCGCCCCTTCCGAGTTGGTGTGACCTATCACAGCCGGCCCCGCCCCTTTTCGAGGGGTATATAAGGCGGCCGATCTCGCCATTGTCGGTCACTCACCTCTGCTAGCCGGCGGTCACTGAACCAAGGACCAAGGATCTGAGGACCAAGCGATAAAGCCTGGAGGCTCTTCCTTCCTCGATACCGAGAAGGCAATAGGCTCTACCTCGAGTACCGAAAAGCCAACAGGCTCCACCTCGGGTAGAAAAGCCCGAAGACCTTCGAGCACCGAGAAGCCAAGAGGCTTTATCTCGAGTACCGAGAAGCCTAAAGAAAATGAAAATGTTCCAGCGTTTGCGTTGCCCTCGCCTTTTAGCCGTTCCTGGCGCTGCTTCGAGGTCTCAGCCTCTCGTTGATCCCTGACCTTTTTGGCCTTGGGATCAACTCTTCCGATGGATGCACGCTTCGTCGGCGGCATCCTGTTTATGAGGAAGCCTTTTGGCTATGAGCTGCTCGGGCTCTACATATCTCGCGCACCGAGCAGCTCATAGCCAAAAGGCTTCCTCATAAACAGGATGCCGCCGACGAAGCGTGCATCCATCGGAAGAGTTGATCCCAAGGCCAAAAAGGTCAGGGATCAACGAGAGGCTGAGACCTCGAAGCAGCGCCAGGAACGGCTAAAAGGCAATCGTGCCTGAATCCGAGGCGAGGGCAACGCAAACGCTGGAACATTTTCATTTTCATTTTCATTAAATACGCTCAAGGCGTACCATAAAAAAAACAGAAACAAACAGTGTAATTGTTAGTTTTACACAAAGCACGAATAACAACAGAACATCATATGCTTCAGGCCCAGACTTCATAAAACTAAAGAATAACGACTTAGCTTGCAAGAAGACTGCTGGATATTACGAATGTCAATGATGAGTTATATCCACAGAGATGGAACCCATGCCCCCGCGTTAGCCAGCAAACGATCTTAAAGTATTCAAACAAGCAAACGACGGCGGGTACATACCCACCGGCCTGCCGGGGAGAGCCCAAAACTCCATGAGCATTGCCATATGTGCAAAACAGAATATCGTCAAGTACTGCACAACGAATGAATCTAAACAAATTGTTATCTAGAGATGGTACCCATGCCCCTTCGTTTGCTAGCCACGATACAAAAGATTTCCAAGAAACAAACCGGAATTTATAGTTCAACCAGTTTGCCGAGGAGAGCCCAACTCCAAAGCAAGAATAAGCATAATATGATCTTCAAGCAATCAAAGCAAGCAAGCTGTGCGAAACAGGCTAAAATATAGATGTGACCAGGCTTGAACCACATGATGAAGAGAACAGTGTTAGTAAAAGGCTCAAAAGCAGTTGAGTTCTGTTGTGGAACGCGTTGAGCCGTTGACGATTTATTAGAAAAACACA